GCAAAATATATTTTCTTCAGATATGCAAATTTCACATCACACTATCATTAAGTGTTTTTTTGTTTGTTTTTTTAATTTAGTGTTTCCTACAGATTTGGCATGTAGTTTTGTGTGAAATTCACAACAAACCAAACCCACCAATTTGGAAAACAACCTATTAAAACCATTTCATTATTTGGTATAACCACATCTTTCCTCTAATATTTGAGAAAGCCAAACAACAACATCTTATTCAGTTTTCTTTACAGAAATCAGATGTTGAAGCTTTGTATTACCTTGTCTTCGAAAGAGTCATAACTGAGAATTTCATGTCCTTGGAAAACAACAAAACCTTATTTTCTTTATTAATTTATACAAATACAAGGTTTATAATCACACTTTTGACAAACTTGTCATTTTTAAGTACTTCACAACACATTTTAATCATTTTTCTGCTCTGCTGTTGAAGTTAATAAAAACTTCACATCTATAATGCTCTGTGTATATGTGTTTCTCTAACAGTGGACCTAAACGTACAAAAATAGAAAATGATAACACATCTACTGCTCGTGTTTCTGATCTAGTACCAGGAGAGTATATATTCAGGTTGACTGTATGTGATGATAAAGCACAATGCACTTCTGATAATGTCAGCATCATTGTAACTCAAAGTAAGTTAATATTCTGTCTTCTGTAATATGTATGGGGTAAGTATGAACACTAATGAAAGTGTGTAGGTGGATTTTATACCCCAGACTTACATGCCTGAAGCCTTGTTTTATGCCAGATTAATTGATAGTAATTAAAACTAAAGTGTTTTAAGTTTCATGAAGAACATACAACTAATTAACACTTTATTCATTTGTCACCTAAAAATAGGAATTTTACAAGAAAACATTTGTCACTCATGTGACCAGATCAATACAATAAATGAAGTCATGACTGACCTAAAATGTGTTTGTTTGCTACTTGTTGTGGTTGATCTGTTTTAAATATAAACTGAATGCACCAAAACCTTGAAAGCATTAAGACAAAACCAAATAGATTTTAAAATAAGGTAAAAACTTTATGCTTCTTGGAAATCTAGCATATTTAATTTGAAAATGGTAGGAAATAAATTATAATTGTTGATTTCTTGGTTCTTAATTTTTTGTAAGTTAATAAATAGAACTTGATATAGATAGAAAACTTAGCTTAAATTCATGTCTTTTAGGTATATTAATGTGGAATATTAAACGAATCTAATAAACTGTATTCAGAATTATAAGATATTCACAAAAGTTATCTTCAAATATTCCTACAAGGTTTGCTAAAAGTTCTTAAAGGAAAAGGCTTGATCTAAACAAATGCATAATTTAATATGCTATTAAATGTATTACTTTGGATTTACCAAGCTGTAAAATGTATCAGTGACATTAGTTTTGCAGTAACTTGTAAGGAAACAATAACAAAGATATTAATAGTAACAAAATCTAACTTTATCATTCTTTATTTTTACTGAACCAGGTTTACCTTTAAATTTTTATATAGGAGAGAACACTCCACCAAGGGCAAATGCAGGAGGTGATAAAACCATCCACCTACCATTTGATCTGGTAATATTAAATGGAAGCAAGTCCTGGGATGATGTGGAAATCCTCTCTTATGTCTGGACTAGAGATCCATCTTCACTTGCAGCTGGGGTAGCTTGAATCATTTTGTAAACAAGTTGTTTTCTGATAGCAGTTAATTTTTGGGAAATTAAATACTACTTTGCTCAATAATCTTTATAAATTATACAAGAATTGGTAGTTGAATGATTTGTGTAAACAACATTATCATTAACATACCTTTAAGTTTTGTGGATTTTAGTGGATTTCAATTTTTACATTTTAGTTTATATTTTATTATTTTCACATATTTTTGGGCAAAAAAAGGGAAAATAAATAACGAAGCTCCAGTTTACAAATAATGATAGAAATACTAGGACTCATCAATGATAATGTATACAGATATTTATAACTGATTATTGTTTTGTGTTGTTGACATGATGTAGAAATAGATCTTTATTTGCTGTTTCATCTGTAAGTGGGGATTTGTTTTAATAATTTAAACAATTCAGTAACTTTTGATATATATGATGTTTTCTGAGCAGCAGTCAACAAATTATAGTACAGTGAAAGAAAAACATTACTGTAGAGAGTACAAAGGTATAAAGTTTCATGAAGTAGTACAAATTAACTGTTTCAACATGATCTTGGTCGAATTGACCAAATTTGTAACCATTTTGTACTTGTTACAGTTTCCATACTATAGCTTTTAATACAGTACATGTATCCTCACAAAATTTGGCAAATTTTTGGTAAACATAACAAGACTTGTTCACAAAAAATTTGATTTTTTAATTAATATTTTTAATAAATATTTATCTATGAATATATCAAGTAGTTTTGTTTACTAGTCCTAGTGCAAAATGATTTTCATGCTAAGATTAAAAATACTTTTATTCATCTGAAAATTCTCAAATTTCATTTATGTAATCTCTAAAGTCTCCAAATTTATTCTAAAATGCAATTTGACATTAAAATTTTATATTTTATCTGTTATTTTCTTTACCCTAACTCTGTATACCAGGTTGGTCAGTTTGACCGACCTTGTAATCACCAGAACAAAACTTCAAATAAATCTAAATTACTTTTTTTTTCCTTTCTAAAATGACTTCAAATTATAACATGAAACTCTGTTTATTTATTCTAAATAGTTTTAAACACATAACACTATACATCTGTTTATACTTAAATTTTATTATTTTATTGCCTTTTGAACTGTGTCTAAGCTAATATTCCTACAATAAAATTTTAAAATCAACTGGCAAATATAGAGCTCATGGGTGGCTCATGAGCATACCTTGTGAAAAAGTTTTATTATTATTGTTATTCATTTTACTTAATCTAACCTTATCTAACCTAAAAAGTTTCTGACTTTTACATTTTAATTACTTTTATAGTAATAAATATGAAAAACAAGAAATAAAGTACTTACTACCTGGGTTTTCTTTTTTTTTCTGTCAACTGGCAATGACACTTAAACCTACTTTTTTATACTAATGGTACTACTGCACTAAAAATTTTTTATCTAATTAAATAATGCACCAAAGAAAACAGAATAATAAAATGCAAAAAGTAAATACTGTCCTATAACTATCATAAAATTTCTAACTTTTTAACTGTGTGACAAGAGCCATTATAAGTTAAGTTAAGCTCATTGATGCATTTACCATGGGAATAAAGCTAGAAATGGAAGCAAAATAGACAATTCTCTGTACAGAAAACAATATAATGTAATACATCATTTGATAGATTAAAACCATGGCTTTCTATTGGTTAGAAGTAGTATAGTATTAAATGTCAGAGAGACCTATTGACAATTTCTGAAAAAGAGGGTGTGAGAAGTGGGTATGGCAAGTGGTATCTGGTTTTCTGTTTGATAGCTCTGTAACCAAATAAGATTGAGGCTATAAGAATTATGCTTTGCCTGAGATGACAAAATTATAATTAGTAACTTGCATTAAATTTCATGCTTGTTTGAGAGGTGGTAAATAAATTAGAGAAGAGGGGATACCTAGGGGGTAAATGTCACAATTCTCACACTTGGGGAATTTTTTTTTTAATATTGCCTTAGAAAATTGAGAACTTAAAACTTATGTAATGTTAAAATCTGGATTATTAGCTGCATTTTTATGTTAAGTTTATTTATATAACATGATAAGATAGTAGTGTAATTAAATTTCAAATGTAATTTACTGAAATCTCCTGACATGGACACAAAATGATGCACATTCTAAAAGAATTAATGAAATTTTAAAGTTTCAGAATTTAAAATCTTTAACTTTTTTGCATCATGTGTATCAATTGTTGTCCCTTTCAGTGAATGGGGACACATAAAAAGTAATTTTGTCGGTAGGTTGTATTTTAATATTATGATAGATTTAATCAATTCTGTTGTTATATGTAAAGGGCTTACGTGTCTAAATATTATACAAATCCAACATCTTTTTTTTTTTTCAGGACATAATAGAAAATTCTGACCACAGTCCAGTTCTCAAACTCATTAATGTCCTCCCAGGCCGTTACTTGTTTCGTTTGACTGTTACAGATAAACAAGGAGCCTCCAGTTCTGACACAGCATCCCTAATTGTGAAGAGTCCCTCAAATGTGCTCAATCAAGTGGAACTCATTTTGAATGCTGATATCAATAGTTTCACTGCTGACCAAGAGGTTAGTAAGACATTCAAGCAACTATATAAATGTGAAGTTTAAATCCTAGAATTGATCTTTCAAACACATTGCAGTTCAGATCAGATTATAGCTGAGTGTTGAATATAAAATATAAAACAATAATTATCGTAAATGTAAATTAATCCACATTAAAATAATTAAATTGTTTCATGACTAAAACTTTTACTGTTGATAGAATTTAACCTTTTCCTTATAATTATCCTATTAATATTAAAAAAAAGAACAGTTCATACTTTGGTTATATGTATATTTGGGAAAAATAACATTAATGAATGTTGTAATTAAAATTATAAGACAGTTCTTTCCCAAGAAGTTATCACATTTTTTAAAGCATTTGAGTAACTTTACATCAAATTTAAAAATTGATAATGACAGTAACTTTTGCAGTTTGGTAGTTTATTCTGCTGTTTTTGCAGATTTGCTGGGAGAAAGCACTTTTATCATTTTGGGAGTTTTAAGTTTTGGGCATAGCTTATCATAATACAGATGATCCAAAAACTACCTTACAATTAAGTCTCTTTTCTGTGAATAACATTTAATTTTCAGCACCAAGACTCATTGGTCTTTTGTCAGTATGTGTATACTGTTCAAATGTTGTAAAGATTAACAGATTTACAAGCACAAATTAAGTAATGAAGAACAAACACAAATGTACAAAAATATGAGGTTAATTACTCGAGTAGTTCTGATGTACCATGTGCATCATTTTCAAGGGTATACTGTGTGTATTATTCACTTTTCCTTCTACATTGATATAAAACAGATGAAAGTTAAAAATGATTAGTATCGGCGAGTAACTTTTGGATTACCTTATTTATAAACATAATGCTAATTCATAATGGATCATAGTATTTATGGGAATTAAATTCTCTGGTGATATTAACTCTTTCCACATGAGCTTGGTTGAATTGACAGAGTTTATAACTATTATATACCCAGTACAGTTTCCATGCTATAACTTTTAATACATTACATGTATCTTCACAAAATTTGGCAGACTTTTGTTCACAAAAAATTAGGTTTTTTAATTAAGTATTTTTAATAAATATTTGTCTGTTTCTTTACTATTGTGAGTGCAAAATGATTTCATGTTAAGATTAAAAATACTTTTCTTTGTCTGAAAATATTCAAATTTCAAAGTGTAATTTCTAAAACTTTCTAAATAATTATAAAATATTATTTTTCAGTAAAACTTTATATTTTATTTGTTATTTTCTCTACCCTAACTCTGTATGAGGTTGGTGAACTTGACCGACCTAATAACCATAAAAAGAAGATTGAAATAAATCTAAATTGTCCTTTTTTTCTTTCTAGACTGACTTCAAATTGTAACATGAAACTATATTTGTGTATCCTAAGTAGCTTTAAACTTGTAACAGTATACATCTGTTTATACTCGAATTTTCTTGTTTTATTTCTCTTTGAACCATGTATAAATTAATATTACCACCATAAAATATGTAAACCAATTGGTGAACGTGGAGCTCATGTTACCCTATCGAATTACTTAACTGTAGGGACTGCTCACAAGCACACCTTGTGAAACACTTATTATTGTTATTATTTATTTTACCTAATATAACCTTATCTAACCTAAAAAGTTTTTAATTTTTGCATTTTAGTTACTTTTATAAAAATGGGCCCGGCATGGCCAGGTGGTTAGGGCACTTGACTTGCACTCTGAGGGTTATGGGCTTGAATCCCCATCCCATCAAACATGCTTGCCCTTTCAGCCATGATGTTCAATCCCACTAGTCATTGGTATAAAGTTGACGGTAGGTGGTGATGAATAGCTGCCTTCCCACTGGTCTTTCACTGCTAAATTAGGGATGGCTAGTGCAGATAGCCCTCGTGTAGCTTTGTGCGAAATTCAAAACAAACAATACTTTTATAAAAACATATAAAGAATACACTTGAAAAACAAGAAATAAAATTCTTACCCGGGGCTTCTTTGTTTTATCTGCTGTCGGTGACACTTAACCCTACTTGTTTTCTATTAATGTTACTACTGCACTATATACTTTTTTATTTAATTAAATAATGCACCAAAGAAAATGGAATAATAACATGCAAAAAGCAGACAATGTCCCATAACTATAACAATTTCTGTGGCTTTTTAATTATGTGACAAGAGCTGTTAAAAAATTCAGTTAAGCTCGTTTAAGTGTTTCTCGTGAGATTAAAGTTTGAACTGGAAATGAAATAGACAGTCCTCTGTATAGAAAACAACATAATATAAATACATCATTTGATAGATTAAGACCTTGGCTTTCTATTGGTTATAAATTATATAGTATCAAATGTAAGAGAACACTATTTGCAATTTCTAAAAGAGAGGATGTGACAGTTGGGCATGGCAAGTGGGGTCTGATTTTCTATTTAATGGTTCTGTAACCAAATAAGATTGAAGGCTATAAATGTTATACCATGCTTGAACAATGATAATGTTATAATGAGTAATTTATGTTAAATTTCATACTTTTTGTAGGGGTGGGAAATAAATTGGAGAAGAGGAAATACTTAGAGAGCAACTGTCACAATTCTCACACCAATGGAGAATAGGAGAATCGTTTCAAATATTGGTTTTTAAAACTAAGGACTTGAACCTTATGTAGTGTTAAAATTTGGATTATTAGTTACGTTGCTTTGTCAAGTTATTTAAATACCATAATAAGAAAGTAATTTAAGTAAATTTTGAATGTAACTCAATAAAACATCCTGACATGTGCACAAAAAGAGTTAAAATCATACCAGACCTGTGAGTATTATCATAATTTTTTATTGTCTATGAAGCCTGTAAGTCTAAATATAATTTCATGTTAATAATCCAGATTAATTTTACTTCTCATTCAAGGATACACTTGTCAAACAGCTAGAGCTTCTTCTCTGTACACTTGAAGGATGTAGCCTTAGAGTCCTCAGTTTGGATGCAAATAAACACACTCGTAGGTATGTGAAAAGTATGGTAAATATTGTTGCTGTTTAGATTGCTAAAGACTGCATACACAAAAGAACCGCATAAGGCGATACATAAATATATAATATTCACACAAGTTGTTTACATAGAATTTATTTAGACATGGAATTACTTTAAACCAAATTTAAATATCTCATCGATGTCTTTCTCTCACAGATTAACCAGTTTATCAGTATACTAGTATAAAAGCCCGTCAAAAGTGGCAGGAAACCATTTTTGAATGATTAACAAAAATGATATAATTTAACTAAAGCAAATTTGTGTGTACCTCCAAAATGCACCTACTCTTCACTTATTTCATCAGTCTCGAAGTAATTCTTTAATCACCACATTTTTAGTAAAAACTACACAGAAAAATGAAATGCTATCATGAATAAAAGTACACGTGTGCTCTGAAAGAGATTTAAAAAACACTCTTGAGCCTTTTCACTGTATTCTAGGTCAGGAAGTAGAAAACATAGTTACATTCCGACAAACATTTTCAACCCTTTTGACTGTACAAAGGGTAAAAGATATTTGGTAGTAATAAATGTTTATTTTTTTTATGTTTTAAGACCAAGTAGGTAATATATGTGTGGTTATGTGTTTGAACTCTAAATATTGTACTTCTCAGTTTTTTAATTCTATTTTTGCTGCCTTCCAAACTTATCTTTTCCAAATTTCAACACTTTCAGTTAGCTTGATATTAATTTTGTTTTTACACTGTTTATTCAACTTTTAACTTATAGGTTGAACTCGTATTTATAAAATGCCCTAAGAGGGTCTTAACAACTTTGAATGGTTTTCAACATTGTTAATGCTTTGTAACCTAAAACAAAATAGTACTATGTAAAAATTAGTAATGTTTTAGAAAATGATGAGCTGGGCATGGTTATATTAAAAAAAAGCAATAGCAGTTCAAAGCTTTACACCTAACTAGAGGCATGGGAGTTTGTTTTATAGTTACTCATGATTTTTTTTCATTCCTGTTAAAAATTTGTTTTATATTATTTCTGTTTGATTGCTACCGAAATATTCTTTTATGAGAAGATTTCAAATAAGGATATTAAGGTTTTAGTAAGCTAAACCTTCTGTGGCTGCAAACTATTCAGATGAAACAAATCCTTTTTATATATATTGCTAATGTTAATGTTATCAAACAAAAGAAAAATATGAAAACTTCTTGTTTATTGAAAACAAACTATAATTATCATGTGTAAACTGATCTTGACCAAAAATATAGTTGGTAAAGTATCATCTAATTTAACATGACAGAGATGCTGTTCTTATGTGATAAAAGAGAGGGAATCCTCAATAGCTGTGGCACTTGAAATTATTTTAGACACGATTAGAGTAAATTAATTTATGAGACCTTTTTATTAGCTATATTTTTGTGTGACAGCAATACCAAGTGTGTGGCTCGCATATACCTGATTCAGTTTTATTACTCATCAGGATCTCTACCAGCCTACCCTCAAATTGAAATTCTTTTAGGCAGGATTAGAGTAAATTAATTTATGAGATCTTGGGCATGGTCAAATACATGAGTCAAAAGGGTTTGACCTCCAGAGTTCAAAACTGTATTTCGTTCTCAAATTAGTCAAGAGATGACAGAGCCATAAGCTAAAAGTTTGTACTTGAACAACTCGGAACCATTCTATGTGCTGCAATGCCTCAGCTAAAAATGAGGCTATTGTTCACTGGTAAATTCTTGTCATATCATGTTTGTGTGATTCATAGTGGGAAGTTGACTGCTTCATTCAGAAATCTGACAACCTAAAAAATTAATCAAATATTAAATCAAATTATATGATGTTTTTCACACAGAAACTAGACACTATTTAGAAAGTTTTTACTAAGCTTTATGCAATTTTGAAACTATTTTTCGTGTGAGAATTAAAAAAAAAACACCTGTCAGTGTTTTCATCTTGTTGCTGTCCTGAAAAGATTAATTTTACCATATCCTTTTTTCTTTCTCTCTAGATAATCATTAGCTTATTGCCATGCATTTTTTTATTTTAAGTGACTGTTGAACCTTCCAATCTTATTAAATCTCTGCCTGAATTTTAGCATATCTTTTGTTTGCACTGTGTCTACCTTTAAATATTTGCAACTGCTTGCAGTTTCGTGTCTTTTTTCTTTTTTTGTTAGTTGTTATCTGTTTAAATAATTCCAAGGTTTTGACGGATGGTTTTTGCTATCCTTAGTAAAATATAAATATGTGTTCTGTTATTGTTTTTTTTTTCATCATATACTGATTGATGACAGAAACATTTTTCTTCATTAGGGTGAGACTTACATTTGTAGTGGAGAAAGTACAACCAGGTGGAGTTACTACCTTAAGTAAAGGCTTGGATGTAGTTGCTGCTCTTAAGAAGAAGTTACGGACTGATAGTAGCCTGCTAAGTTTGGAAGTTTTGTCTTTAGACACAGTCGGTGTGTAGTACTGATGTTAGTTTTAGTATAAACCAGTTGTAAATAGTTTTCAGTTTTACATGTAAAACTTAAGTTCTTTTGGGGCTATTTTATTTTGAAATTACAAATTTAATGATCAACAGTACATTCTTTCATTTATATCTGGATTATTAAAAAATGTTAGTGAACATGCTTACACTTTCAGTCTTATGGCTGTCATAACATGACAGTTAGCCACACTATTCGTTGGTAAAAAGTAGCCAAATAGTTGACAGTCAGTGGTGTTGTGTTAACTAACTGCCTTTCATCTGGTTTATCACTTCAAATTTAGTGATAACTAGTGCAGATAACCATTATTTAGCTTTGTGTGAAAGTCAATAAATAAACAAAACCGAAAGGTGGATTTGAAATTAGATTATTAATGGATAGTTTTGTTTTCTGATTGTAACTAAACTCTTTCTGATTTTTGGTAAATAAATTAGATTGTTCATAATAGCATTGAAATAAATTGTTGGTATTAAAATAGTGATGCATAAAGTTTGGTTTATAGCTAAGTAAATCATAAACATTGTACTTTCTGTTTATAATTTTTAAGTATTAGTACATAACATTCTGTTTGTTAATAATCTGATTATTACAAAATAGTGGTTTAACTTGGCTTTCTAGAATTTTGAGAAATAGAAGTAATATAATTTGATTATCTACAATGTTGTAAATAGACATATAACCTGATTGTTTGGAATGTTGGGAAATTATGGTATACTCTGATTGCATAGGATATCGGGAAATTGTTATATACCCTGGTTGCATTAAATGCTGGGAAATAGCAGTATAACCTTACTACATGAAATGCTGGAATATTGTGGTATATCTTGATTACATGGAGCATTGAGAAATTGTGTAACATAATTTTTTGTTCCTATAATTTTAGTTATTAGTGATGTAACAGTATTATTTAAAATTCTTGTAAATTGTAGAATTCATTGTTTATTCAGAATCTTGGGAAATTGTTGTATAACTTGATTACGTGTACCTATTTTGTTGTGAAATATCAGTACTGTATTTACTTAGAATGTTAGTTAGTAATAGTATAATATAATTATATAGTGCTGGTAAGTAGTAGTAGTGTAATGTAGTTACTTAGAATGTTAGTAAATAATATAATAATTATTAGAATGTTAGTTAGTAGTGGTATAATGTGGTTACTTAGAATGTTAGTAAGTGATATAATAATTATTAGAATGCTAGTTAGTAGTAGTATAATGTAATTATATAGTGCTGGTAAGTAAGTAGTGTAATGTGGTTACTTAGAATGTTAGTAAGTACTATAATAATTATTAGAATGTTAGTTAGTAGTAGTATAATGTAATTATATAGTGCTGGTAAGTAGTAGTAGTGTAATGTGGTTACTTAGAATGTTAGTAAGTGATATAATAATTATTAGAATGTTAGTTAGTAGTAGTATAATGTAATTATATAGTGCTAGTAAGTAGTAGTGTAATGTGGTTACTTAGAATGTTAGTAAGTGATATAATAATTATTAGAATGTTAGTTAGTAGTAGTATAATGTGTTTTAAAAGTAGGTGTATAATGTAAATACTTAGAATGTTGGTAGATAATAGTCTAGTATGAATATCTAATATGTTGAAAAAAAGCTGAAGAATGTGATTACATAAGTAGAGTGTACTTGCTGACATACAGTGTTAGCAAGTAACAGTGTAGTATTAATACCTAGTATATTAAAAGTGGAAGTATGATGTAAGTACTAAGAGTGTTGGTAAATAGGAAGATTGAATAACCTGTACAAACGGATTGTTTTGGCAGATTGTGGTGTAACTTGATTATCTAAAATGTAATTATATAATCGCATGTTTTGTTGTTTTTTGTTGTTGTTGAATTGTTATATTTAATATACTAATTACAGCTTGTGTGCTTGAAAGAGCAAATATTTTTTGGAACATTATTGTTCATTGCTGTTATTTTAAAGCTTTTTTTGTAAAAAATAACTAATTAAGATCTGTTTTTTTGTTATTAGTGTGTCAAAATGAATGCTCCAATCATGGAACATGTGACCAGTATACAAAACATTGTGTCTGTGATGCCTTCTGGATGGAAAATATTTTCAGGTTTTATATGAAAGATGAAGAAAGTAACTGTGGTAGGTGTATACCTTAAAAAGTAAATTATATGCCATTATGATATATTTAAATATTATAATAACCTTATAGTTATTGACTTATTTTTATACTTTTGTAACTGATCAAGTCCACTTATTGCATCTTATTGAGTTATTCTATGTCTTTTGACTGTTACAACACATATATATATATATACATCATTGATGAAAAACAATTAGGTGAAGTCATTCATTTTCTATGTTAAATACATATTAAACACCAGCAATAATTATTTTGAGTAACGTCTTATATTTTATATTTTTGTTTCTCTCATATGTTTAACTTTATAAGAATGAAGTTGATCAATTTGACCAACTTTGGCACTGTGAAACTATACATATTATAACTCTGAATTTAGTATGTGTATCTTATGAAATTTAACAAACTTTTGATAAACATTAAAAGTGTTGTAACTTAAAAAAGTATTTTTATTAGACATTTGTCTTTGAATTTTCATAGCCTTAATGAGTCAGTCGGAGCAAAATGTGATTTTCATGTTAAGAATAAAAATTTTTGTTTTTTCTCATTGTACAATTCTCATATTTCATTTACAATACCTCTAGAACCTCCTAAATGAATATCAAAAGTTTCTTTTAGTAAAAAATTATCATTTATTTTATCAACCCCTAACTATAGTGAAATCATCTGCAGCAAAAGTTGAAATGAAATCAAAAGTACTTTTTTTTATAGAATGATTGCAGATTGTAACAGCCAACTTACAGCTATGTATCCTAACAATTTTAGAGCCCCTAACCTTTTCATAAATGCTTTAATTTTATTTTATTCCATGTCTAACTACTAAACTAGCAAAACAAAGCAGTAAATCCCTAGCAAGAGTATAGCTCAAAGTATCAAATTATATAAAGCATGTGCTACTTGCCTTCATACTTTGGGGAGAAATGTCTTGCTTCTATTTTTTTTTACATAACTTTTACTGTCGAACATAATAAGTTTCTAGTTTTCACATTTTAGTTACTTTTATAACAATAAATAAATAAATAATATACATTAAAATAAATTTAGTACTAACATCTGGGCTCTTGCACTCAATATTCAATGTCTTGTTGAAACTTAAACTTATTTTATGGTAGAGTTGTTTGAAGTATGTAAAATTATTTTCTTGTAAATTCAAATATACAACTTTGAACACAAAATAGTTTCATACTACAAAAAATCTTCTAAAGCTATTATAATTTAACTGGCTTTGTAACTAAGCTAAAAATGCATTAAAATAATTCCCATACCTGGTCAAGTGACCTTAGCAATAGCAATAATTCCCATACCTGGTCAAGTGACCTTAGCAATAGTAATAATTCCCATACCCGGTCAAGTGACCTTAGCAATAGTAATAACTCCCATACCTGGTCAAGTGACCTTAGCAATACTAATAATTCCCATACCCGGTTAAGTGACCTTAGCAATAGTAATAATTCCCATACCTGGTCAAGTGACCTTAGCAATAGTAATAATTCCCATACCTGGTCAAGTGACCTTAGTAATAGTAGCAAAGAATCTTTATGCCGAATAATTCACAAATGGTTTTTGAATGATTTAACCTTGTATGAAAAATCAGTAAATTAAAATCTTTTTTTTCTTCCTTTTTTTATTGGCTATAAGTAATCCAATAGCAAATGTCAGAGAGAATTACTGACATTTTTTTTTAAAGGCATGATGTGATATGTGGGTTAAACTTTCTGGTTTATATCTCAGTAATGTGAGAAGAGTGGAGGTTACAAATTGATGTTATTTCTTAGCAAAATCTTTACGTATGTAATTTATGCCAAATTCAGCAGATATTATAGGGGTAGAAAGGTCATCTAAAATGGGCAACTCAGAGTGGAGAAGAGTCGCGTGATACATAGAAGTGAAGATTGATAATTTATTTAAATAATTCTTTTTGAAATTAAGGACTGAAAACTTGTATTAAAATATGAATTATAAATTACATATGATGCCGAGTTTATTAACATACACTGAAAACAAAGTTGCTTACTTAAATTTTAAATGTAACTTATTAAAAAATGTGACATGTGCACTTTGACCGACCACCCATGCATGTAAGGCTAATCTTATGGATTTTTTGTTACACTTTGTTCCTTCTGGAGCAGTAATCCTCAAATCAAAAGCAGTAAACCACAGCAGGAACACATTAGGTGTTTTCCATAGAGCTAACATAAACAGCATGTGATCTGAGTATTATGTTTTGCACTGTGTTTTACATTTTAAATGTTTTATTATACTGAAGTTTTGTTAGGCTAAACTGAAAAGTTTATAATTTTTACATTTTGTTACTGTTTGGAGCACTGAATCTGATCAACATAAACCAAGCATTTGTCATAGATGGAAAACTAAATGCAGAATTAAGAGATCCGAGCTCTGATTTATTCACTTCAGAATTTTCTACCTTATAAAATAGGCCACTGAAGTTTTCAACAAATCAGAAACTCAAGTTATGCATAATAACATGGAAGAAACTAAAATTTTAACTTCCTACCCTCTTGATCTTTCAAGATATCAATAAATCTGTCAAACCCACCACAGAAGTCTCCCCCCTCCCCTCTGACTTCCAAGATTGTTTGCTAATGAACTTCACATGGCTAATGGACATGTTTTAGCCAATAGAAAGAGCAGATTTTCCAACATATATAAATCCTTCTTAATTTCAAAAACCTTCAATTTCCATTTTTCTGTGTTAAACTTAGGTAAACATATAATGATAACAAAATTTTGACGTGCACTTGGACCTGGTTGTATGAATAATTAATACTAAGAATTCTGTAATGAACAAATTAATGGATCCACAAGCAATTTGGTGCATAAACAGTTTGGAAAACATCGTAAAGCCAGTGGCCCCATTTGGTCTTTAAGTAATTCTAAGGCTGTGTTAGAAATGAAAGAAGTTAAAACTTGACCCATTGGGATTTGAATTCATCACTCTGCTTATCAGGCATATACTTTAGTTGACAATTCTACTCTGCCTTAAAAGCTGCAAGTCTCAATTTTCATTTCATCATATTCTGAAAACAAAATATAGCAGACTTTACTTGGCATGTTAAGATCAGAATCCTTACCACAATATTTCAATACAAAGTGTGAAATTAAATAATTAAATTATAGAAATGTAAAGAGTGGGTACATTTTCCTGTGATGTAAGAAATTTATATGGAGAAGTAAAAATTGAAATCAGGCAGAATTTGATTGGCATAACTAAAACATTCTTTGAAATGACCTCTACAAACTAATGAAATGGAAACATGGCAGCTTTAAGTCAGTAACCTTTTCAAAGAATGTCAAAAGATTTGTAAAGCAAGATTTTTCCTTATTGAAACCATGTTGACTATCCAATAAAATTTTAAATTTTGTCAAATGACTTTGCAAATTATCTTTTAACAGGCTTTCCAAAACGTTTCTCACAACTGACGTAAGACTTATGGGTCTATAATTACTGAGACAATTTTTATCACCTCCCTTGAAAAGAGGAGTTACATTAGCTAACTTCCAATCCACTATTCAAGGACTGAAAAAAAAAAATAATAAGTGGCTCACACATCCAATCTTTAACCTCCTTCAAAACCCTTGGGGAAATATTATCTGGCCCAGGAGCCTTATTGTTTTTTAAACTTCTGAGTTTTTCTTAACCAGCTCATAATTAATTGTTTTCATCTATCAACTGTTCAAAATGTGGAATACTGCTTAAATCTTCATTAGTAAAAAACCGAAGAAAAAGCAAAATTTAATAACCCAGCCATCTCATAATCATCAGATACGAGCCTTCCTTCATCATCCCTCGAGGATCCTACCCCCATCCTAACATTTTGTTTACCCTTAATGTATTTAAAGAAATCCTTACTGTTAATTTTTACATTTTCAGCCAACCTTTTCTCATACAACCTTTTTGATATCCTAATTTCCTGTTTCACCAACTTTCTTGATCTTCTAAATCTTCTGTCATACCAGTCACATATATTTGTCACATATAACTGAATAATGTATTTAGACAAAAGAAATTGTGTGAATTTTGTATTGTTTAATTACATTAATATTTCTTATAATGCCTTTATGTATTTCTTTTATTACCAAGTACAGAAACCAATACTGTGTAATAATGTTTTGTTTTTTTTCCTCATAATCGAGCTATTTATTTAAAAGCAAGACTTTTTCGTAGTAAAATTAACTTCTTGTTTTTTCTCTTCAAATTATCTTAATTGTATTATAGCCAGTAGATACTTGTAACTATACTCTGGTTACTATTGATTTTAGTTGATCATAATCAGTTGAAACCAATGGTATTAACAAAACTACTACAAACTATATTGTCCTCTTGTCAATGATAAATTCTCAAACTTATAATGCTATAATCTGGGGTTCAGTTCCTTGCATTGAACATGGTGCATAAAGTCCAATATGTAGCTTTGGGCTAAAAACAAAACAAACTGTAAAATGGTATGAAAAGCTACAAGCTTGATAATAGATTTATATTAATCTTGTGGAATAAAATTATTGATATTTAATATTTTCAGAATAGTTTAAAACTTTACATAAGAATAGTATTTTGTGACATTTTAATGGTGACTAGATTTACAAAACAACCTGATTTATTTACATTATATTCGGATAGTTTATCAGAACTGACTAATTTAAATTTTATATATATATATATATATAGAAATAAATTTGATCTTTATAATACAGTGTATAATTATTTTTATAACAAGCAACCCATATTTATTTTATCTTATTTCTCAAACATAATTATTTATGCAGTATCTAAAGAACATGAACATGTTTGTTTTAGTAACATTTCAGTATTTTATTTCAGATTGGAGTGTCCTATATGTTGTAATCATTTCTTTTTGTGGAGTAACTGCAGTTGCTGGGTTTATCTGGGGAATTTCTTGTCTTTGTAGAAAGTAAGTTAACTTACCAAAGTGCTCTTCTTTTGGACTTTGATTATTTGATAACACTTCATTTATTCATGATTACTAGTAACTTATATAGAATATATGTATATTTTATATAAAATTTCATGATTGTTGTACATTGTCATTTCATATACAAGTTGAGATTATTTCTGTTCTAACAATTTTGTGTTGAATATTTGTACTTATCAATTGAACATATTGTATTGTTTAAATTTAATTATAACCTTGTCTGATTGTTTTAGATTACTGGTAATGTGTCCAATATTGCTGTGGATAGTTGCTTATCTTTTTTTTTGCATATTATTTTTTAGCGTACTTAGTGACACAGAAATTATTACAAAGTCTTAATACACAGGGTGGTACAGATGGGTATTCACAATTTATGGTAGTAATACAAAGATGAGTCTAAGTCTTACAGCTCTGGTCCTTCTGACATGCTTTCCAGTATCCATAAAAGTAGCATGTAGGGATTCAACTCATGCCTGCAAATTGTATAACATGGATTCTCATTTGTACTTGCATCTTACGAAGAAATTAGCATGCAGGTTGGACAATATCTTACTGGTATCTAGTTTGTACAAAGGTAGTATTTCCTCACAGTCTAGTGGTGGCAACATGTTAACCTAACATTTTGTAGAGTTTGTCACAGGTTGGTCAATATCTTACTGGTATCTAGTTTGTACAAAGGTAGTATTTCCTCACAGTCTAGTGGTGGCAACGTGTTAACCTAACATTTTGTAGAGGTTGGTCAATATCTTACTGGTATCTAGTTTGTACAAAGGTAGTATTTCCTGACAGTCTCGTGGTGGCAACGTGTTAACCTAACATTTTGTAGAGTTTGTCGCAGGTTGGACAAAATCTTACTGGTATCTAGTTTGTACAAAGGTAGTATTTCCTCACAGTCTAGTGGTGGCAGCATATTAACCTAACATTTTGTAGAGTTTGCTTGAGAATTACCTTAATTGTCTTGGCTCTAAACATATTACTGTTGCTGTAACCACTATAAATCCCTTAGAAGTAATTTTGCTTCATGCTTTATACCAGTTTTTGAATGTTGTATCACCATGAGAACAAAAGTGAAACATCTGAACTTTGTGGCAGTCACTTAAGGATAAGCATTAGAGGTCTAGTACATATCACTACTGTTAGGGTAAAAATAATCAATGCTGTATTTTGAATATTTTTCCAATAGCTAATATATGGCAGTAAAGTACTTCAGACATTTTTTAGTTCAACTATTAACCCCCTATTGGAAACAACATGTAAAATTTATAAAATAAGAAGGTGGCACGAGAGGACAGTGGTATTAGCTTTGGGCATACTTTTCAACTGATTTCTGTAAACATTAATGGGTCTTGACGTATTTTTTGTGGAATGTTTAACACCAGGTTACGCTCTTTTTTTTTTTAACCAAAAGTATTTTATCATTTGATCCATATATGTCAGTAAACAAAACAAAAGAAGTGTCAAATAAAACTTTTAGAACCGCAACTGGCCCTGTGACAAATTTCATGAAGTATGTTCGGAAAATACAAAGTTATGTTACCTTACACAAGAAAATATTTACAATGAATCTGAAAATGTGAAGAACATTAGATAGGAATAATCATTTTGAAGCATATTGATAAACATGTTATTTGTTTCAAAAAAGGAATATTTAAATGTATAAATCCACGACCTTCCATGAGTATTGTAGTGTAAAAATCAACTAAAATAAGTTGTACTTTATTCCATGCAATTTCATAAATTAAAGTTGTAACAAAACTAAAGATTGTAACAGGAGCCAATAATATGTATGACAAACCTGCTTCAAATATTTATTTAGATACCAGGATATGCAGTTGTGAGTACACAAGCCACGAACTTGAGGAAGTTTGCATAAAGAATTCACTCAGAGACTGAAGCAACAGAAAGAACACATGCTTATTTACCATAACATGTATATATATATATATATATATACATGTATATAAATCACTTAATTAATATATTGTATAATTCTCCAATAATTTCTCTAGGATACACATCGATAGCAATAGGCAAAGTATCAATTAACTCTATTTTATTCAGTTCTAATGACATATTAGAATTTATGCTCTTAGATCATATGGATATGGCAATATTACTTGCACAGAGGTTGAGTAGGAATTATTCTTTATTGCTGATAGCATGTATATTCTGGAACTTTCTCACTTCTCTCTTGAACTCTACTTCATAAGATGATCTCTTTTTCATTTCTCTTCCTCAGTCTTTATAGTTTTCAGACAGGATGTTGGTATTGTTCCAAACAGAACCAAAACCATAACTGTAGCACATGATTCTAGCTTTGGCTTAATTGTTTTATACATGGCCCTTAAAACTCTAAATTTGTTGATTCTTAGAATTTTGCACATCATTTTTAGTGGAGCAACTGTATTTTTTGGACATGCCTAGCTCCCACCTCACTTGACCTCAGACCTGCATATGTTTTTCTAGCATAAGCATCCAGCTTCTAGAGTTTCAATTTCCTTTGAAGTTTCCATTGTTTTCTTCATTTCTGAACTCCTTCCCGGACATGTTATATTTCGTTTACTTCCTGGCAATTGTGTCTTGAACTTAATAAACATCCTGTCAACTTGTTGATTTACTAGCCTCTGATTTGTAGTGATAAAAGAACCATGTGTTTACTTTCTAATGTTTCAGTCTTTAATCTCACTTTTAATCAAACGTGTTATTGTTACCACTGAAGTTTTTTGTTTCATTATTTGTTCAACTAATGCACAATAAATTTTCATATTATATCCAATCTAATATATTAATTACTAGTCAGTTTCATAAGAAAATGATAAATATAAACTGAAAACATTCAGTATGTAAGTGATTGTCTCAATACTCTGTTTACTTTAACAGCAGTATATCAAAAATACAAATGATATATCACATGCTTTTACAGTACGAGTTTCACATGTTTAACTAAAATTAGGGACTGCTGGGGTAGATACTTCTCATGTAGTTTTACACAAAATCTGACATTGGGAAAAAAAAGAGGCTTTGTTTTTTACTGATGTAGCAATAATTTATCTACAACTAGGCTTACAATGCTAAAAATCTGTTTGCAGCACCTATGGTGGACAGAACAAAGATAGCCCACTGTGTAGCTCTATGCTTAACAACAAACAAAACAAAATTAGTTATCTACAAATATTGTTGAATGAGCATCTTAATGCAAAGATCGGTTTAATTTTTATGCATTCAGGTATTTTTATGCATTATTACGTGGATTTATAATAATTGTTTTATATCAAAAATAGTCATTCAAAAACTTCAATATTAACAATAATAAATTATTGCCCAAATCATCATTTCTTAATGAGGTGTACTTCTGAAATGGATGTATATTTTGGTCTGTTTTCTTTAACAGTAGTAATATGTGTCTGGTTTTATGTAAATGTATTTGTTTCATCCATTATGATTCATAAATATCTGTTTTATTCTTAATGTTCCTCTTTTTTTATGACATCCAGTATATGAAAAGGGTTATCTTATAGACATTCTTGTTTCTACTCCTAAATCAACTATTTCATAAAATAAACTTCAAACTTACAAAAAATACCTTCCCAAAATTTGGCATCTCCCTTAATAGTTTCAACATTCACCTTTAGCGGTTACAAACAACAAAGTCACAAAAATTTCTTTGTAGTAAGCATATCCTGAACTTGATAGTAACAGTTATGTTTTTTATACAGTTCTAATTGACCATTTATTATTGAACAACAAATCCTTTTGTCTTTTTAGAACAGCGTATGGAGGTGTCATAAGTTTGGGATTTTTAATTTAAAATTTATCATTTTGAAGAAGTCCATCTGGTGTAGCCTCAAGAAATCCATGCTCATTATCAACATATAGACCTCAACATTGAGCACAAACTTTTGCGTGTCATTCAAGGTTTTCATATGCTAGTTCATACTCAATAACCAGTGAAGTCACATTTACCAAATACAGAGGATTCTTCACATTTATTTTAACAGGAAATTACAGGCTCTCAGTCTACATATAGAACATACTCAGTAGCCAGTGAAGTCACATTTACCAAATACAGAGGATTCTTCACATTTATTTTAACAGGAAATTACAGGCTCTCAGTCTACATATAGAACATACTCAATAGCCAGTGAAGTCACATTTACCAAATACAGAGGATTCTTCACATTTATTTTAACAGGAAATTTACAGGCTCTCAGTCTACATATAGAACACATACATAAGATCAATCTGTTTCGTCTTTCCTCATATCAGTTATTGTTTGCTATTTAGTCACAATTGTTTATCTCTATATTCTGTTGAAACTTTCAATTCATGCAGTTTTTTTACCTTATGTCATTTCTTCTGGCTCTTTTGCATCATTATTGTAATTTAGTTCATATCTTTTTTTCTTTAGTTTGAATATATTTTGGCTTCTTTCCATCTTTTTACTGTGTCATATTCCAAGAGTTTGTTTCTACAATTTACTGATTTTGCCATCATTTTTTGTATGTACTTCTTTAATACAGATGTAGGGCTTCTAAAGTTATTAACTTTACCAAGCAAACTATGCCATTTTGGTTAAAGCTGATAGGTGAGTCCAGCTCCATAACATCTGTTTCCTTATGAACTTCTTGATTCAAAGAACCATTTACCTCCAACAAACTAAATACATGTAGATTTTAGCTATGTTAATCATCTCTCCTGACTTTTGGACAACACGAAAAACTACATTCACTATTTTAGACAGAATTACACAAGGGTTGTTTTTTGGTGGCTCCTTTTTTTGCAGTACCATTATTTACATTAATTGTGTCTCCCAAAAACATAGTGAAGCTGTTCTTCAGATGTTTTTGCAACTCTCGGCAAGATGGTTGCATCTCCAATAAAATGAAAGTAACAAACACTGTGCATCTCATCACTTCTTCAAAAACCTTCCATGAGAGTCAATGTAGTTTGTTAAGTATACTGCAAAATCTGGATTCATAATATTAATTATTCATCGTGTTTGCCCAAGTAGTGTCACTTTGATAAATGAAAAGCAAGAAGGTATTTTTAGTTCTTTCATGCAAAAGAACATATACTATTTCCATACATCTAACAAACAATCTGTCTTCCCAAAATGTAATTGAAGCAGCTGTATGTGGTTTTCTAAATGTCAGTTATAAACATGTACAGACAAAAGAAGATTTGTATGTCATGGAGATACTATCTCTGACCTCCAAGACATTCACAAAGAACGAGACAACCATTGAATGAAATTGGAACAAAACTCTCTATGAAAATATAATACAAGTAGGCAAGATGATTCACTTCAGTTTCTGTAACATATGTATTTTTTATATTAATATTTAAAACATAAATGCAGCAGGACTTGTTTCTGACACCGCTGAGAGTTAGATAAGCTACTTCAAAAAGTGTTTCTTCTCTAAATGATATTGCTTTGTTAACAGGTAACCATATAGTTGCTATCAGCCACTTCTACAATCAAATTTTACTTATTGTTACAGAAAATTCTCATAAAACACTTGTGTAGCAAATGACCATTAGGGTTTACTTCTGTTACATATTATTTGGTGGAAGAAGAATCACAAACCATGTCCAATACCATTAAAAGAAAACCTCTAGAGTACTAAAAACTCAGACATCTAAGCAATAGAATTGTTAGTCAACTGAACGAATATGATATTTGAATGGTATAGTAATTATGGAACATATATTTTGCTTCACATAAACATTAGTAAATTAATTATATCCATCTTGTTCTTCTAGGAATTCTTATAATACACACGCATTAAAGACAAACACCAGTATTCCCTTGTAAAGTCTCTTAACTGGAAGAAAGTTATATAACAACGGTAAATCACATGACCAAAAGATTTGGAAGGGAAGAAACACCATTAGTGTGTGAATGTATTTTCTAGAAGTTATTTTTCAAAACATGAAAAAAGTATCTCAATTTGACGCTTCTGCCACACTGCATAGCATTTCCATGGGAAAGATTTCTAATAGTAATTAACTAAAACCATGTGATATATTCAGGTGAAATGAATTAATTTTAAATCTTTACTTGATAATTCTGCCAAATAGAAGGTTTGTTTAAGATATGAAATCACAGAGTAATACTATACCAAATCAAATAAAGAGACTGGACAAAATGAACAATGTTTATTAAAACACTTCAGATAAAACAGTATGACCTGGATTAATGACTCGGTTGAACTGTTGGATACAAGGCTTTATACCCTTACCTTATCTAGGCTTAACTTGGTTTGCATGTCTTACTCTGCCTCACACTCATTGATTGAGGTTTGAAGGGACTTTGTATTAAAGTGGCACTAACATGCGACAAATAATTCTCAGAAAACATTCATGAGAAATTAACCTCTAAGTATTATCTGAACAATTACTAAAGAACATTACTAACATATTCCTAATAAAATTGCATTAAGCAATATTATTCAGGGGTTGTAACAGGATACAGGTAACTTACAGAATAACAAGGAACAAAGGTAATTTAAAACAAGATCAGCTTAATGATTTTCTTGATCACGTGCTGTGTGAAACCTGCACATATTCAGAACAAGAAATAAAGTTAGAATAAATATTATACCAGTATGAGAAGATGAAAACCCATGGTATATTCCTACAACACAACCATATAAATTCATAAAACTTTACAGGGACAAAAAAAGGTGCATATTAGCCCATCAAGGAAGTCCCTTCCAGTTCCCAATCAAAACTACCCTCTATCTTCTACTTTTTACATTTCAAGTGTTTCAGTATTTAGTGCTATCTTTTTTAGCAAGATCACAATTACTAATTAAAATGTTTTTAGTTTTTCCAACTTAAAAAAATAGATCTCAGCATAAAGGATTAAAACATACTAATACTTTATAGGAAACAAAATTACAATAATTAACTTGGATAATTTTTTATATATATTTTTTTCTGATATTTTTAATTAGTAATTTAAAAGTACCCTGGAGTCAGTTAAAAAATATGTAGTTCATATAAGGTATGCAAAGTAAGTTCTTGAAAAAGAAATAGTTCAATTCTTTGTTATGATTTATTTTTAATAGGGTATAACTTCATTGGGTTTGAATGTTTTTTATTACAAAAATGGTTATCGCACATTAATCATTTTACATTACTTTCTACAAATAACCTTGCCCATTTACTAATTTGATAACTAGAGCCTCTAACAATATTTAAAAAAAATTAAATTTAAAAATGTGATGTGGGAGTGCTGTATCACTTAACCATGTTTTATCCAATATGATAAACATACCCCACCTATCACCTGCCAGATATCACTCATAAAGCTTTTCAACAGTAGGTTACCATAAAGCATGAATAACCTACTGTACTCTTTTATCATAGGTCAATGGTATTTTTTTAAACAAAATTGTTTAGATTTTTGTTAAAATTTATATTTTGTTGTGAAAATTATGAGTTCTTTTTCCTCCTATTAGGCTTAAAACCAGTCAGTTGTATCACCCCATAAAACTTTGCCACACACTCCTATCCAGATATGATTCTTGTTCCTCTGTTTCCAACTGCTTGTTCAGTATGGGTTCACTCCATATATTAAGGCTCTGCTTGAGTTTCTAGAGCAAGTGTTAAATCTCCCCAGTGGCTTGCTAGGCCTATCCTGTGTTTTTAGGACTGCTAACTAGTATTATCCCTGTGTCTATAGCTCCCATATGGTTATTGGTTTGCTATCACTAGACCCAAGCAGACAAATGTAGTTTTTTTTTTTCTTAATTTCTTGTAAATTGTTTATAAATTTTAAATATTGAAAATATTTAGTTTATTGTCTTAGTTTGTTGTGAGTTATTGTAATTTTTTAATGTATTTTATATAACTGTCATATCTTCTCACATTGTTTAGCCACATTTCACTCATTGAATTGTAAATACATGCAACTAGTAAACTCTCTTGGATCAATGTGAATTATTGTAAGTGACTGGCATTTTTAACACATTAAATTATTAATAAAGTTTCCAACTGCCTATGTTAAACATGGCGTAGTGGTTAGCTGCTTGACTGTGGATCCGAGATTCATGTTTTGTTACCATCAAACCAAAAATTGTGCTCTACGCTCTGAAGGCATAGGTTTGTTATAAGAGTGACTGTCAAATCCAACCATTTAGTCTGACATAAGTAGCCCAATATTTGATGATGGGTGGTGCTTTCCTCTAGTCTATCACTTTAAATTTAAGGATAGCTAAGGCAGATAACTCTCATGTAGCTTTGTGTGAAATAAAAAAAAAAAAGAACAATCCCAAATTTCTAATACTTCCTTAGATCTTATAGATTAATGTAAACACTTTCTACTTTATGGTTGATTACTGACAGTACGTTTTATAAGGTTGTTAGTCTTTTGCTAACATTTTATTATCTAGAATTTTAATATATTACAACTTATATTATAAAAAAACTAGTTGAAGTGCTATATTAAAAAATTAATGGATTATCTTAGAACAAGATGTCGGAAACACAAGAAACGCCATCGATATGCCCTTCTTGAAGATTTCAGTGATAAAGAGAGGAATGGAATACCTTTAATGGCTAGAGGTAAGGAAATAGTTTTTAATGTTGAATAAGATTTCTTTATTTGTTTACTGCCTTTATTAAAGTCACTACAATATCCTTCTTGTATTCTAATTATAGTCAACTCTATTATTCAGGGTAATGAAAGGAAGAGGATGAAAAAATAATTGAAAAGCACGCATAATCTGTAAATCTCTATATTTGGGACATCTTTATTGTAAAACAAGTTAAAGTTACATAGCATTTTAATGCTGCAGTAATCACTACTTAATAAAATAGACTGTACTCTTTTTTTGTGATCAAACCCGCAACACAAAATAATAGGGAGATTACTGTACCTCAACCTTTTTTTTTTAGTATAGTCATGTCATAATTCATCCCTTGTTATATTCACAAAACCTGTGGTCTACTGTGTAGTCACTGCAAACTCAGTGCCTTATCATACATTAACTTATTGGTTGTTTTATAGTACCCACATGCTTCTGGCTACATTGCATTCAGAACAAGTTTTTGAAGTATCATACATGTATATAGTTAATATATAATTGTGGTAATTCAAGGTTACATCTGCACACAGTTATATGGTCTTTGCAACAATAATAGATAGATTTATGGAATTAATGTGCAGTGACTTGTGACAGGTGGCCAGAATTAAAGTAAGATAAAAACGCTATTTTCTGGGATGGATAGATAGAAAAATATGTGAAATAAACATCAGAAAAGAAAATAACAAGTTGAGAAGAAAAGGGTTTAATTTAGATTTGAGCTCATACAGTTGGAATTAGAAATGGCACAAAGATAAGACTTCTATTACATATCTTCACCCCTTTATTATCTAAACTTAATTTTCTCTAAAAGTACCAAAACGAGGCACATTCTTTCTGTAACTGGCCAATCAGAAATATGGCACTGAAATTTGAAAATATCTTCTCATTGTGATAGCTACAAGGTATTCCCCAACCAGAAGATCAAGAAGGACACAATGCAACTATCCCACAACATAGAAAATAAATTTCCTTGATCAGTTTAGCTAAAAAAATAATACCTCAAGTTGCAATTTTACACACTATCTTAACAAGCTTTAGTATCTTCCAAAATTGGAACATAGAAGAATTTAACTTATCTTGTAGATATGAAAGATATACTATAGGAAAGTGAGATGTTACATACTTTTTACAATACTATGCTCACTGGAAATGTTTGATTGTAGTATAGTCACTCCAAACCACTTGTTGTATGAGTAAAGTTGCAACATACTACTTGTATTACAGTAGTGCAAACCATTGTAGTCATTTAAACAACTTGTTTTTTGTCTGTGTTACTGTATTATACAGTGCAAAATTTTTATGGTCATTACACACCTCTTCCTGTTAAATCAGATATTGAAACTTCCTGCAATTCCACTACTAAAACCTTACTATATTATAATCACTATAAACTTCTCCCTGTTGTCATTTGCAGTCCTTCAGTAATCGAAGATGATGTAGAGAAGGGGAGAAGAAACCATCAATGCTTGGATTGTTGAGTGTGCTTCTAGTGCTTGTGTGATCAGAGCCCAAAATTGCTGGCACATTTCTTTTCACAAATGTTGCATTGAACTGTGCGAGGAACTATAAGCAAGGCTTGTCTCCAAGTGCAACAATCCTGTGAGACCTTCACCAGTTGAATCACTGAGCAAAGTATCGTAGTGTTCTTTCCATCTCTGCAACATATCAACCTTGTTGGTAAACAGTTAGGAACCATCAAGACTCTTGAGCAGAACAGTTGCTCCATGCTTTGGTCCATCTACCACCTTCAAACTGTTAAAAAACCTTTTGTATCATGTTTGTCAGCTAAGGACTTTATCTCCTCTGCCTTTTGTAGCCACCATTAATCTTGAAGTTTGTACAGATGTTTCCGGAGGTTTGCTTGTTGAGTGTCCTTGCCATAAAGCTTGTCTATTTGTCTTTTCTCAGTTAACAATTCTTGGATGTTATCATCATTTTTGTAAAACCAATCAGCATGTCCCTTATCGTGGAAGCCAATTTCTGTTGTGGCTGTGTCATATACAATGGTTTTGAAATGGTTCCATAGCATTGGGATCGATTGAGCTACTTGGGATTAATTTGTTTCAAACCTTAATAGATCTTTTTCTGTACCGAGCTAGATTTGGCAATAAACACATTTCTCAAACTCCCTAAAAATAGTATTACAGTTGGTGTCACTCATATTGACTCGATGGACTCTCCTCGACTATGTTCTAACATGAAGGCATGACCTTGTTGATGTCATGTCTACACAAGCCATGCATGGTGTGGACTGTGACACATGCCACACACTTATCCACATAATCTGTAAACTAAAGTTCACTCCCATTTGGTGCAAAAACAGCCAGTTGCCTCTTGGAAACTGAACATAGTGAAATTATGGGATCCTGCTTGCAGAGAGAAACTCGCATTCTAAGAAGTAATTTCCCATTTTAGTTTATCTTTCCTCTCCCGAAGTAGCCTAATTCGTGGTTCTAAGTTTGATTATCTGAATCAACATGAGCATTCAAGTTTCCAAGGACTAAAAGTTTGTCACTACCAGCAACCGAATCCAAGAGATTCCTTAAGACCAGATATAATCTTCTCTTGTGAAAGTTTTGTTTGTCATTGTTGGTGCATAGGCCAACATCATAGTGATGAAGTGGTTCTTGGACAGTGTGAGTCACAACTTCATCAGCCTTTCAGAGATACTATTCTGACATTCCAAGTTACAGGTTTGAGTTTCCTTTTCATATGCTTTACTTGACCACAAAATCGGAGGCTCACTGGGTGTGGTAGCCCAGCCAGGTTAGGTTGAGTGGACTATGTTTACTCCTCCTTTTATCAGGGCATCTCTTTCCAGGACAGTCAGAGCCATCTCATAATAGGGCTGCCATCCACGGCCATCAAACTTGAACCACCTATGTGCAGATGACCAAGTAATGACTACCATAGTTATTTTTGAGCTCTGCAACTGGCAGGAACAGTGCCATTAGCTATGTACAGCCATAACAAAAGTTGGGAATGAGGAGGAAGTCCTGCGAGGATGTGTGGCTGATGGGAGCATGCCTTCTCTGCTGTTTACTCAGTTAAACCAAGCTTCTACCAGACAAGGTAATCCACCATTCTTTTTTGTCATTGGTTTCACCATATCCCTGGTTTGGGGACTCCATGTGCTACCCCAAGGCTACGGAAAGGGGGAGGGGAGCCTCACAATCACTCCACAGGCTACTAGCAGTAGCTAGGTCCTGTGTCATACCCAAAATAAGCTTTACCCTGTATTACACTCATAATAAACATCTTTTTATATCATAACCTTTAGAAACCATCTCACTACATTATAACCACTATAAACATTAAAGGCATCTCACTGTATCAAAACTACTATAAGCTTCTTAATTTGTCATCATCATTACAAGTATATCATTGTGTTTTACATAGATATCTTACTGTATAATATCATAATTACTACAGTTATCTCCTTTTATTAAACTCACATGCATCATGGTGAATCATAATCATAACAGGTATCTGTTTTTATCAGTCACCGTTACAATGTCTGAATAATTAGTACAAATTTTGTACTTTATTATAGATACTAAAACAAAAGGGATCTGTCAATATTACCAAAACTTTCATGTATTTTATTTACTAGAAAATATTTCTGTCATACAGTCATTTACCCAAATACATGGCAGGTAAGCTATGGCATGTTGTGTGTTTAGAAACAAAATTATACATGTGGTAGATATGCTACATACTTTTTGCTGGCATTTGACTTGTAGGCTTAACTTATTATTTATTAAGGTATATTTTGTAGATTAGAGACTAGAAATTTACTTACTTGTATCTTTTCCATTTGGTTTTAGTTAGTATAATTTTAGTTGATTTGGATATAGTGTTGTATTAAGACAGGTATTTTTACTTATAATAGCAGATTACTGTATACTGGTATTTTATAGTATTTGTTATGTACAGTTCTTTCCATCTTCTCCAGGAAAGCCACAAAGCAGCAGTGTCATGGTATCGGAATCTGATTCTGACACACTCTTTGACTCCAGAACAAGGCTGAGGATGAAACAAAATGGGAAACCCCCCAATGGTGTCATCAAAAATGGAAGAAAAATCAAAACGTGACATATATCTTGATTCACTCAAGCTCACCTGAGACTTCCTGAACTTTTAAAATACGCAATCATAGAGACATAGCAACATTCTTTGTGTAGTTGGGGTTTATATTAGACAGTTTCTGCTACTGCTAGTATTAGATGCTAGACCTAATGAGTATGATTTTTATGTTGTTTGTAATACAACCTTTTTTTAATTGAACAATTTTTATTCTTTTTAAAGAGGTAATTATTGCTATTTTATCAAATTTATAAAATGAAATAATTTACAGTTTTCGTTTCTGAGTAAGTAGAACATGAGTGAAAACTACAAGAAGTTAGATTTCTGTTAAATCCCATAATGATTGTTGTGCCAATTAAGTAGTGAGAAAGACAGGAAAAAAAAAGATTTTACAACTGTGTTGATCGTTTTATTACAAGTTACTTATTTACTTTGTGAAAAATAATTCACTCGAGTTGGTTTATACTTTAAAGGCACTAAATGCTTCTAAAATTCAAAAACTTGCAATGCTTGAAAAAAATAGACATTTTGTATTGGTAGTTCATGAAAGAATAAGAAGCAGTACAAGTAAGCTTGAATAAACTAGTGCACCCACTACAGTGATATGTATGTGCATATATCAAAGTATTAAAACATATATAGGATATTATAACATATAACCACCAGTTTTCTTGTTATTTCTATAGCAAAATATGTGGGAAGTCCCAGATTATATACAATGTGGAATATAAGTGTAATTACTTCACTGAAGTTTGGCGTTGCTGTATATTAAAACCACCAATGTTTCAGATTTCACTCTAAAGAAACGAAATAAATTTGTCACAAAAAAGAAAAAAAAAACTTGTTCATTGCTTGCCCTACCAGCATTTGTTATTTCATGACACCAAACTTTAACATAAGTATAAATGTTAAATCATAATAAGTAAGGAAAAATTGCATTAAACTGCTGATGATATCCCAAAAATATAATAGATGTATTTTATATAGTGTTTCAGTTATAAATGCCTACAAATCATGTACAACTTTTTTTTTTTATAAGTAGTTTTGAATAGACTATTGGAGCACTGTAGTGTTTTATCCAATTTATAACTTAAAAGTTTATTATAACAGTTCACCAGTTTCTGCATTCAACACCATTTGTCCTGTAAGTGTTTGATATGGTTCAACCTTGTAGGTTTGTCACGTCAGCTTCTTGAATGTGCCTTTCTGATGTGAACAACATTTGCCTATAGTGTTGCATGGAATCGAATTCACTCTGGAAATGAGTTTGCCACAGTTTGGCTGTTCCCACTAAAAGAAACTGACAATTGCTAAAAGTACTTGTTGATTTTGTTATAATTAACACTGATGTTTTTACTGTTAGAACATTTTTGGTAATGCTTTCATTTTAAGTACATGTTTGAGAAAGAGTTGATGAGAATGATATTCTGCTACAAAATTTAAATCAGATTCACTGCAAGTTATCTCAGTTTATTTATTTTTGTTTCCCACAAGTATAATTCTGCTAGCTAATACCAATTAAGAACAAATGGTTTATTTTAAACTTTATTTTAACATAATTTATTTACTCTTTTTTTAAATATAATATTCTTATTTTGGTCCTCTTTCTGTCGTTTTTTTTATTTAATGTCCTCGGGAAACCAAGAAAATAAATACTTGAAAACTTATTTCAAAAATGTTTTAGATATTAAAGCAGTACATGTGCTTTAGATGTTAGGCTTTGAACAATATTTATTATTCAAATATACAACAACAGGAAATAATTATCAATTTATCAGAACCTTCCTGTATACTGGGTGTAACAAAAGTAGCTCCCATTGGGCATCTCGGAGTCCCAAATATTCCAAACAGTTTCTGTCACTACTAAACACCAGTGTGTATGGATGTCTCATGTTTTATTGCAGGCTGTACATTTTGGTAATTTTATGCTTAAAATAAACAGTGAACAAAATTTTTTGTATAGAGTGATATTTTTATTATACCCTATAGATTGCAAAAAATATGTCTTCATTTTTGTCTTGATCTTAATTTTGATGTAACAGAAGTATTATTTTTAACTTTATTTTGTAAGTATACTTTTCTTAAAACTATACCTAGCTTGAAAAAAAATTGTTTAAATAGTTATCTTTTTATTTCATTGTTTGTTACTTACTTCTTATGTATGTTTCTTTTTCAACCATAAAACAAATATCTTTAAAATTCTCTGTTGTTTTTTGTAGAGTGTATGAAATTGAAGTTATTTTAGTTGGATAACACAGCCACTGTTTTAATAAAAGTTTCTCTCATGATATGTTGTTAACTAAAATGTACAGAAATCACTCTGGAAGATGTGTTGAGCATTTACAACACTTCAGTTTACATTATCTCCATGTTTTTGATGTCCTCTTTACTAAATGTTTTTTTGGAGGTACATACTACTGTATGCCGATATTGGTGATGATTTAAAATGAAATAATATATATATAGCTTATCTGTCTTCTTTTGACTTTAACAATCTTTTTTAGCTACACAAGTGTAAAAATGTCTAGTCATTTCCACAGTTCATACTTGTCCTTAAAAATTTTAGTTCCTAAATGTTTATCCTATAAATTTGTTAGATGTTACACATTTTCCAGAAATCGTGTATAACCAGTGTTGTAGTCATGTTTGGTAGAGGCCTTCCACAATTATCTATATTTATCTAAGTATATCCCCCCCCCCCTCCCCATCAAGCCACCCAATTTCATTAATTTATAAGCTATTATTACAGATCTTCAAAATAATCAAAAAACACTTTCACATCAACTGTTTAAAAAAAAATAAAAAAAACATGACAATATTTTGAAATGCATACCTTATGTGCTTGACAGTTTCTTTTGCATTCATAATACTGTTATTTTACTTCAAGATCTTGTATGCACATGCGATTCTAAGTCATTACAGATACTTTTACTGTCTGCTTTTTTATATTTATTTGGAGAACCTTTTCCCATTGTATGTTTTCTAGCTTTAGTGTTACTAAATACAGAACTCTTCCACCCATGTGCATGGCATGATTCATGTATAATGAGCAGTTTGGGAAAGTAGTGGAACAGTGGTTCTTATCTTTAATAGTGTATAATGAATTATACCAATCAGATATTTGTTGTACAAAGGAAGTCTGTATTGGTGATTCTGTCAAGAACAGAACCAGATAACAAAAAAAACAATACTTTTCCCACTTGATCTATTTGGTGCACAGTTATTTATTCTACAAATATACTACCAACGCTGAATAATTCATATAGGTGTGGTAGCAAAGTCAGAGAATATTTGTGATTGCTCAGAAATTTTCAGTACTGACAAAATTATCTGCTCCCATCCATGCATGCACCAAAACATTACCACACTTTTTAAACAAAAATACTAAATTAAAAAATATATACACACACTTTACTTTAACAGCACCACCAGTAACTTAAATACCCATCAAGTTATTTGTAACTTCAAGATAGCACACATCTTTTGTAGTAACATACTTCAATAATAGCCACAGTCCAATGTGTTTAGTACAGGTTTATAATTTTGAAAACAGGTGTTTTAGATTATCTTGTCCTTTTCTTGGGTGAAAATTGACAATGTGCATGGCTTCTACCAATACAAGTTTTATAAATTGTATTTACTTAAAAATTCAGGCCCTGTATTTCCAGTATTAACTATAAAATAGTTTTCTTAAATGGTGATTTGATGTTATAACCGAAGAGTAGTTCTTTTGTATAAAGAATGAAACAAGTTCTTGCCAGTAGCTGATAACTTATGTAATCATTAAAGCACTGTTAGAAAAAGATACAGGTGAAACCCTAAGTTCAACTAAAGTCTCATTGCCCGACTGAATAAATAATATATATATATACGAATATCGGTATTGATGCAATTTTAAAGTTTGTTTGATCAAGTTTAAATGTACATATGCACTTTGTCAAATGTGGTTTTTCACTAAGTTATATTTTTGTAGCCAAACAAAATTATTCTATGAAAGTTTCACCTAGAAATACTTTAAATTATGGTGAAATTGCCAAGACTAGAAAAAACTAAACATTGCACATTTTGGAGAGGCTCATTTTTTTTGTGTGTGTTAACTGCTACTATCAAAATCCTTAAGTCATAATGATATTAAAGAGTTTGACTTCTAGACAAAAAGAGATCTGTAACATCAAAAATAAATTCTTTGGTATGTTAAAACCTGAACTAGTTTCATTTGTGGGATGACTACTTTGTTTTTATACATAATATACATAGAAATAATATAATGAACTGATTTCTTGTAGCACTAATAACTAAATCTGTTTTAAATGGCATTAAAACTATTACATTATTGATACTTCACATGTGAACCTCTGTGGGTGGATTTTTGGAAATCTCCAGTTACAAAAACCTTTGATTTTAGTTAATTTATTACGACTTGTGTTTTGATAATTTAAAGTCTATTTGTAGCTTTGTTGAACTAGAACATTAAAGCTTTATAGAAAAATGTTGTGTGTGTGTGTGTATAAATATATATATATATATATATATCACAAAGTTAAGAATGATTTAAGTTGTGTGCACAGGTTTATTGAACTACTCACACTTTACAAAAATACCTAACACCTTATATTAAGAAACAAAAACTGTACTGGTATATTTTGACTAGATCTTTTTTTCCCCCCCAATTCAGACTTTAAAACAAAATCTCAACAAAAAAACTTTTTTTTTCAAATTCAAATTAATAACAATGGAAACAGAGTTAAAATACATAATAGTACATGAAAATATGGTGCAATAAAGCAGTTTGTTAAGACAGAATGTAAGAAAACATTATTATTTTTAGGCACTGTCAAAGTTATTTTGTCTTCTTCATTGAAATGACTTTAAGATGGTTCTGTGTCGTAACATACAGACATGTAGATAGGAACATCAATATTAAAATTTGCATGAATTATTATATTGGTCAAATATAAAATTTACTAGTAAAACTTTAACAAGTCACTTGATTATTCTCTTCAGGACCCAAATACAAAATGAATTTGAATTTATCGAGTATTTTTTTTTAACAAGAAATGATGTAAGTAGTAACCAGTTCTGTTCTTTACTAAAAACCTGGCTGGTGTACCCAGATACTTAAATCACCTGATGTTAGAATACTTTTTCACAAGCTTGTCATGTCAACTCTGAAAATATTGTGCTATTACAGAACTGAGTACATAAGCTAAAATACTCTACATTTAGTATATTAATGTAGAAGAATACGAACAGTGGTATAAGTATGCCTTCACAGCTCCTGCAATTGCAGGAGGGGGGGAGCAAAAAGATGATCCAAAGGGCCTGACAAACTTAAGAATTGTCAACAAGGAGAAACATACAATTTCATTTGAACTAAAGAGCACCTGAACTATTCTGGCATAGTAAAAACATTTAGAGAAAGGACAGCAGACTGAGTCCATACACTGACTGTCTTGGTTAATGGTCCATACAGTCATGATGGAAATATAAGTATAGTTACACCATGTATACTACTACGTACTTCTCTTTCACCAATGCATGAACTAACTGGCCTGAAATCTGATACTTGTGTAATTCGAAAATTAACACTAGATGCAATTTTAAGTTTGGTTAAATCTTCAATTAAGTTAATGATATCAATAAGCCAGTAACTACAATTATAAGGAACTAAAAGTTGGGGAGCCCAACTTTTGTAGTTATGCCACTGGATAGGAAGACAATATAACATTGAATGACATACAATAATAAAGACTATGAATACCAGTTACTGAATTAAATCTCCAGAAACTATATATTACCCCACCCCTTCTAAACATTCTATTTAATTTACAATAGCCAGTGTCATCATAGATGAAGTATATTAAATTTTGTTCCTGCATCATCTTACTTCATAATTTATAAATTTTCTTAAACATGTAATTTTTAATTCTTTCCATGAAAAATTTAAAACATTAATGTAAAAATGTATCTTACAAGTCAATTTAAACACTTTGTTATACAGGCAAGAACCTAACCAACAAAAAATTAATAAAATATCAAGTAAATTTATATTAGAAATATAGTTATTAAAAATGTATAGTCTCAAAAGGCTTTTTATTCCAATATTAATCTGTTTAATATCTGCACCAAGAGATTAAAAAGTCTCAAAGAGAAACACTTCAAACTGTATTTAAATATTATCTTATTACTCAGCTTTCAACTTATGTTACCACTACATATCAGTGTGTATGTTACTTCATTCAGCTGACTAGAAACTCTTCATAAATTCAACCAAAACAAAATAAAAAATCTAGATTTTCCTAAGTCTAAAAATTCTACACCTAAGCATTGTTTATTATATAATAATCTTATGTGTAGGCTCAACAAAACTTAAAATCAGAGCAATTTGTTTTGTAATTTACACGTGTAAACTTTTTTTTTCTTTTTATATACTGCTGGCTCTATGAAGGCAATAATTTATCAAGGAAAACTAAAATTCTTCAACCGATTTTGCCATTATATTTACATTTATTTTTTCACAATGAAACTTGCTAAAGTTGTACCAGACTAGATACTATACAAAACATTAGCTTAGAGATAGAATAATTACAAATATAACACATGATAAAGGCTAAAGAAAAAGTCTACAATAATTCCTGTTTTGTGTGACATATTAAATGATAATCTCACAAACAATCAATACTCAAAGAAAAGTATGTTTTGTTACTGAAGTATGTACACAAGTATTCTCATCAAAAAGTGTACATTAAGAACATTTAAAACAGTAAAAGTATACTTTGGTAAGCTTTAGCCACTATTAAACATTTAAAGCAGTTAACTCACAAACCACATTTTTGAAAATGTAGGAAAATTCAATACAAAATACATAAATAGGTATGTTCATTTCATACTTGTAACTTATCTTTCAGACAATAATCATAACTCAATAATTCTTTATCTTTTTTACAGTATTTAAACATAGCAAGAATTCTCCTTTTTAAAGTCTGTAGTTTCTCATTTACTCATTTAACAATTCTACTTTTGTAACAAACTTAGTTCATAGTAATGCTTCAATTTCTATACAACAATTAACTTTCCACTATCTGACCTCCAATATAAACTTTATAATTTAACACCAACATTATAAACATTAGAAGGACCCGCAGTATACAAACTTTAAAGTCAGGTCACAAACTTTGAAGTCTGGTAAGACCAAAGGTAAGCAGATAATAAAGACAAGAATATAAATTTTCTTGAAAGTCTGACAAGATCTAAAGTATACAGATTTCAAAGCAAGAGATTATGAAATTTCTGTAAAGTCTACGATCCAAGATATACAAACTTTGAGATAAGATTATGAATGATTGTGCAATTCAAAGCGTACAAGTTCCACACCAAGATTATGGAGTTCCTGTGAATTATTGCACAACTCAAAGAACACAAACTTCAAGTCAAAATTATAGATTTCATGTAATAGTAAAATGACCAACAATGATTTAAAAATATAGAAAAACTTTAAATATTGACATACAACATCTTTTTTCTGTTTTCTTCAAGTATGATATACAACCAAGCATACAATATATATAAATTCAAAAGACAAAACAGTTTATAATATACATAAATGTATAGTATAAACTTTGTGGATAGAATCAAAAACTTTGAATGAGATCAAGAAGATATTTTAGTGGCTTTTGACAAAATCTTTCTTTACTTCAATACCTGTTGAACAAGTTTTACTTTAAGAACTAAGCTAGAACAAAACAGTTTCTAATGATATCGACCACTTAATCAACCTAACATAATACCGTGTTAACGACACTTATTTTACCTACAATGGTTAGTTCTATAAACAAAACAGTGGCCTAGCTATGGGATATTCCCTTCTACTTAATGACCTTTACATGTCGATTCTAGAAGAACACTATGAGAATAAATTCACACATACACTGACAATATTTTTAGTGTATGTGACATGGGAAAGACAATCTACTTAACATTATACAATTTTTAAACAACAGGACCCAAAAGTCATAATTTTCACTTATGAAATAGAATCTGACAGTTGTCTGTCCTTCTTAGATTTTAACATAAAGAAAAATAAAGTGAACATCAGTGTATACAAAAAGAAACATACCCCCCTTCACACAAGATCTAATTACCTCCTACTTTACCAATGTAAACCATGCTATACAGTTTTGTACCAACAAACTGTACTGAACTACTACAATATTGTAGTTCTATCTAGATGGTTTAACCTTAATTTCATAGATAGAGCTTTTACTAAACTTCAAAACCATAAAACTTTTTTATGCTAATTCCAGTTATTTCCTTATGAATAACAAAAAACAGAACTTTGTTTCATTTCCTTTTATGCCAGAAATTTTTACTGATTTTACCAGTAACTGAAATACTGTATTTAAGCCTTCACATAAGATAAGTACCTTATTACCTGACTTGAAACAAACTCTACCTAAGGGAGAAAAGCAACGTGTATACAGTGAATGTGGTAAGGATAAATATATCTGGTTCCTTGAAAATCAGACACACCAAGGACACACACACACACACACACACACACAGATATAAATTTGAGAAATCTCCCTTAATAAGTTATCAATTCCAATAAAATCATAACATACTTTGGGATAAAATTGTTCTCCTACACCAACCAAAAAATAAATTGTTTAGAAAGAATGGAAATTACTTAAGCAGGTGATTTTCCCTAAAGTATAACGATGACTCTAGTAGCATCAACAAAACTTGGCTGACTTTATATATTTAGCTTTCATTCCCATACTCGACCAGCCCTGAGCTTTACTTAAGTCATACACCTGTTGTAAATTTCACTGTTATGTGACAATACTCTTGCATATTATAAACTCTTGCATCTTTTTTCTTTATATATATATATATATATTAATTTTGTATATAAACTCTGTATGCATACCTGAAAAAGACAATCCAACATTCTGTTGAAACATACAGGATTTTCTCTACATAAAAAACTTCCTTACGTCTATAGATCACTCATTGTTGGTCAATTTACTCTTGTATTAGCATAATGTATGTCAATACACAAGGAATTCATGTACACGTAAATGACTGTACATTTCAAAATGTACAAACTTCCTGCCAAAATTATGGACTTCTTGTGAATGATTGTGCAACTCAAGATGTACAAGATTACAAACTTCCTGTGAAAGATTGTACAACTCAAAATGTACAAAATTCACACCAAGATTATGAATTTCCTGTGAATGCTTGTACAGAGCCAGGTGTACAGATTTCACACCAAGATTACAGACTTCCTATAAAAGACTACACATCTCAACATATTCAAACTTCTCACCAGGATTATGGGTTCCTGTAAATGATTGTACAACTCAACATATACAAACTTCACACCAAGATTACAGATTTCCTGTAAGTGATTGTACAATATAAACTTCAAGCCAAGATTATGAGCTTCCTGTGAATGACTGTACAACTCAAAGTGTACAAATCTCAAAGACAGGATAACAAATTTTTTATGAGCTGGTAGGATACAAAGTACACAGACTTTTCAAAGAGTCAGTTAACAGTACAACTCCATATTTCTTTTAAACAGAAGTCAATGGTAATACATTTACCAACCATAATGTATTTCTAAAACTTTACAAAAACATCAAGTTACAAATGAAAACAAGAAATAAAAAAGCCTCAACAATTACATACAGAATTTGATCTTCATCTGATACAGATAACTTAAATTAAAATATCTCCAATAAATGTTATCTCATCGCATTAGTGATACAAAATTCAGTAGCTGTAGCTCATCTTAAAAGTAAAGTTAGGTATCAGGTATACTGGATATTTAAGGAATATATATTAATAAACAACTGAACTTAACAGTATACATATATAGTTCACGACATCAGTATATTTCAATAAAAAAAGTGAACATGGATAGCTGGACTATGTTAACTGGATTAGGAACCAATACAGATGACTAAGAGAATTAATTCATCAAGTATCAAAACTTCCTCTTTAGCAAAGAAAACATGGTATCCTCACAGAACAGTTTCAAACTTGTCTTCATGTTAGGCTGATCAAGATGATCAAATGAAAATTCCTCACTTTCAGCTAATAAAAATGGAAAAGCTCTTTACTTGATAAGCCAAACAACAACCATAACTTTCAGTTATGATTTATGAAACTTTTTAAATCTTTGCATACAAAATAATTCATTCTAGATGAATGGTTTTTATACAATATAACAGCATGACCCTTACCTGATACATCTGACCATTATACACCATCTAGTTCCCATGCAATATGACCCTGGCCTACGGAGGACTGGTGCTGAGTACCTGTGATGGTCAGTCTTTTCTTAGCCTGGTAATGCTGATATAGTTTTACTCCACTGTAGAACGGAAGAGCAAACACACCTACACTTACCGCCATTGCACCTGCACATAGTGCAAAAGATCCTAAAACAGGAGCCACCATTAACTTTCCACCTATAGAGACAATTACAATTAAAAAAGATTTACTGGATGGAGGCACACAAAAAAAAGAAAAAAAAAAAGAGAAAAGAAATTGTATATTTATTATGATTTATTGCAGTGATAATTTGTTTCAAACAACACATATATATGTTTTATTTGCATTAACTGAAACTTAATTTAAATATTATCTATTATGTACAAGGCTGAAATTAAGACCACAGTGGACCCATTGACAACTTCAGTTCTGTGGATCCCTCTTTCTACAAAGGCCCTCATTTTTTTTTTGTATTGAAATTTTATTCATCAAAACAATTCTCTTTTGCAAAATATGATGCTTTTAAAATGTTAAAGTTCCTAATCTGAGAAACCTATTAAAAACAAAGAATATAACTGTTGTGGGCTCCTTGACACCTTGGGCTCATAGACAACTGCCTCTTGGTTAATTCATCCCTGATATTCTAACACCACTATCAAAATTATAGAAATGAAGACAAATTATCATCTATCAAAAAACTGATGTGACATTTTCTAGTAGTTATTTCCTTAAGGTATTTTCAATAAACATGTTTTTATTTTGAAGTTATCAACTTTTTTTTTTATTAAGCTATACTTTGATGTGCACGTAGAAATTGATACACCACATAACAGATTACAATAAAGATATAAAAGCTTATATTATGATATCACAGCCCATTAAGGAGGGCTTTTATGTGATAGAACATTATCTGCTTTCACCGATACTCGAACTATATAATAAAAAAAAATTTTGCCTGCTTTATACGTAGTTTTGTTTATAACGGCATTGAAAACATTACATTGTTCAGGATTGTGAATAGAAAGTGAGTCATTTACTTTGCAAATAACGTAAAAAAAAATGTTTAATTTCTGCTATTTTTAATGAAATTTTCCCTAGCAAGGCTGTTGTATTGATAGCTGCCAGAAGGAACTTCAGTGGCATCATAAGGTATATCTTTAGTTCCCTTTTATGTATTTTAAGTGATGAGAAGCTAAAAGTACACTAGATTTTTCAGATATAAAATATTAACTCATTAGAAAAAGGTTATTTAAGCAATATTTTCTTGCCACAGATAAAAATGAAAGATGTAACTGTCATTTTCTCACACACATAAGATATAAACTATGGTCATCATGCCACCAGCTGTTGTGAAATGGTGATGTACCATATAACACTAAAAAATATGGTTTCATAATGGTCATCATGCCACCAGCTGTTGTGAAATGGTGATGTACCATATAACACTAAATAAATATGGGTTCATAATTATACAACTTTCAACAGGCTATTG